TGCATATCCAGAATTGAGTTTGCAGTCAACTGATAATGCTTTTTCTCTTATATCTATTGCGTTAATTTCTCAAGTAATTAAAATTATACATTAGTATTATTATATTGCATTCGCTTGGGAGTTTAAATTAATTTAAACATAATTTACTTGGTTATTTTCGTCAATACATGATTAGTAATGGAAAATTTGTATTTTTATTTATCTATTTATTTTAAATGAATTTATTTGATTATTCAATTTAAAATAATTGCATTAACATATTTATCATTTTAAAATTAATCACAAAAACTCTTAAATTATCCTGACTAAACTTGGTGTCTAAAAGTCAGACGATAAATTTCGGGTTGTAATTTCTAAAATGTATATTTTCCTTTTTTATTTTTATTCTTAATTTTTAAGAATAATTAATTCATCATTTAATTAGCTTTATTCTAAATTTTTATAAAGTTCAAAAAAATAAATCTAAATCTTTAGATAAAATAAATAAGCAGGTAAATATACTTTTTTATTTAAATACATATGTGTACAATAAATATATCGTAGATTACCTCCTGGGCCAATCCACAATAGCTTTACAATTCCTGATAATTTAAGTATTTTTAAATCCACAATTGATATTTTCCCATTCCTCTCCGCGAATTTCATCAGAGGGGACTTTGTTTTTGTTTCTAATCAAATGTAAATTGACCATTGATAATGAAATATAATTGTGTAATTTGTTTAATTGATTAATAACATCTTTTCTTCCTGCTTTAATGTCAGTTTCGACGGCAGTATTTTTTGCTTTCGTAAAACTGAAAACATACTTTTTATTAAACTTCAATTTTAATAAAGGCTTTTTCAATTAAATTAAAAAGTTTATACTATACATATTATAGATACTACTATTTTCTACAAATTTTTAAAACTCGTTTTCAATAATTCTATACAATAATTTAATATATTTATTTTTATGTTGGTTATATTAAATTCTGTAACTTTTGTAATTTTTTAAGTTATAATTAAAAATTAAATTATAGTAAGTGTATTTTTATAAACTTAATTGCTGGGATTGATGTCTTCTCAAATGTAGTATATTCTTTTGAATTTTTTAATATTTTTATGCATGAGCACACCAATTGTGCGCAAAATTTCTAATGTCAAAAGCATATTCTCCATCAATAGAGATCACTTTTCGAAATTTGGCATGGCATTTTGAAGATATGCATTTAAATGTTAATTAAATTTTAACACATTTAATTTATCCGAATATTGTATAGATAAACTTATATTTATAAAGTTTAACAAATTATTCCAATATAATTTTAACTCTTTAAAAATTTAAATATTCTTTTTTATTAAATTATTTTTACTACATAATTTTAAAAGAATATAAAAATTAAAATATTTTTATTATTTAATTTAATTTAAAAAATTATAATTTTATTTCAAAATTTATTCTTTTTATTATATGTATAATATGAATGAAAAAATGATTATTATTAATTTTTTGTATAAAAATATAACGGGCTAAAGAATTCTAGGAAATATCTTCTCGTCGAATGTATTTATTAGCAGTTATTTCCTAATAAGCGATTTAAGGGGATTGGTCTTATTTTATTCTTGAAAGCCAACAATGAACTAAAGTCATACATATATATTTTAATTATAAATTTATGTATTTTTAATAATAATATAAATTTACTTAAAACAAACACAAAATAATTCTTTGCACTATTTGTATTGCTAAAGAGATTTTTATTTCTTCTGCAAATAGTTGGCTGAGTTCATTATACAAAATTTTTTAAATTCTAATCACATTTGTCAAGTATACATATTTTCCGCTTATTATTAAGACTTATTTGATGCAATTTATATTTTAATTTAACAAACATTAGTCTAAAATAATAGTAATTTAGCTTCCATGCCTTTCTTATGTAGACACATCTTTAAAAAGATGTATTAATATAAAATAATTAATCAACAAAATATTTGATTTATTTTAATTAATTAATCAATTTTTATATTTATTTTATTGCTACAGATATGAATATTATTTTTGGAGTTTATTTCTTTTATAATTTTATGTTACATATTTTAATTTTTTGAAGAAATTTGACGTAAAGGTTGCCGCCTGGGGGCATCAGAAATGAAGAATTCAATATTTTATAAAACTAATGTACTCATTTTGTATTTACACTATATATAAGTAGATATTCCCCTTTAATTCGATCTACGATGGGTGATTAATTTCATTTAATCTTTGTTTATTATTAAATTTTTACACAATTGTTATAATTGCACATAAAACTACATTTTTATCTATTGTAATAAATTATTATACTTAATCCTTTAAAGTATTTTAAAATATTTATAAAACTATTTATATATTATTAAATAGTTGTTATTATATTTTTCTTTAAAACAACTATTTTATTTTAGCGTTATTAAATAAACAATTTTTTATTAATTTAGAAATTAACTAATAAATTTTATTAGTTATATAATTACTCTTATAGCACTAAACTGTTTTGCGAAATTATTATAAAGGTAAAGAGCTCTACATAAACATTTTGATCAACCAAAAGTTACATATGCTACATTTGTATGATCTCGCACTGAAAATTTTTTTATAAGAATATCTATTTACATTCATATCCCTGACTCACATTTTGATTTGTACTTCATTTATTAATAAATGTTACTACTTATAATTATTCTGATTAATCGTCCAAAGTGTTTGGAAAGATCTATTAGTTATTGATTTTTTCTTACCTAATATTATATAATACTGTTTGTTTAATGCTGAATCAATTTATTTTATATTAATTAATCTCATTTAAAACAAGCATTATTTATATTCCATGATTTAAACTCACTCGGGGGTAATTTATATTTTAATTTAACAATATATTATTGTAATAATGACAAGTGTATTTTTAATTATTCTGAAAGCTATTTTAATTTTTTTATAATTTTAGAGTTTTCAGCTTATTTGTGATACTGCTAGAACCGGTAATTTTTGTATGAATAAGTTTTTAAAACTCAATTATTAATATTTTGTTGAGTCCGCAGTTCTTTTTTCCCGAAATAGTAAACGATCTTGGCGAAGTGGAGGCCACTGGAGGAGCAGTTTGCATCCTTCAAGCCTAACTTTTTTGTTTTTTTCTGTTAGGAGTTATGCTTTTTGGATTTTGTAGGGTATTAACGCAGGTTCATTTTTAGATATTCGTCTGACGGTTATCTCACTTATTCCGGTTTCACGGGCCAATTTTCTCATGGAGGGTCGAGAATTGCGATGCACCTAGTTTTTGATCATTTTAATATTCTTGGAAGTGCTGACGGTACTCGGTCTTCCACTTTTTTGTAAGTTCTTAGTTGTGCCATCATTACTAAATTAATTTCAAAAAAATTTTCTCCCAAAAAATTTTCACCAGAATTTTTTGAAAGTGTATTGCACAGTGCTCTTTGGGACATTCAAAAGAGGTGAAATTTTGCGGACTGAATTTTTTTCAAAAAAAGTGAAATTATAGAATCACGTTGATTAGCCATAATAGAGAATTGAATGAGCTAAAAAATAAGCATAAAATCGATTAAAAATATTGATAACAAAAAAAGTTATAAGGAATTTAAAAGTGTCCAATTACTTATGGTGCACCCTGTATAAAATTTGTTTAAAAGAATTTTTAATGAAGAAATTCAACATCATATGATTAAAATAAGTATGTATAAAAATCTTCAGAGTTGTTTTAGTATTAAAATATAAAAATATTATTTTTAATGCTTTTTTATAAAATAAATTATTTTTTAACATATTTAAATTTTTAATATAATCAAAATTTTTGATATATTCAAACATATATTTTTTTATATTTTTGTAGAAAGAGGATATACATACATATTTTTTAAAAAGATGAGCTGTTTAAAACATAGCTTGATAAATCATGAATTATAAAAAAATAAGTTGCAAGAGTGTCCTTTTTTCTTATTGTTTCCCTAAAGAACACATGACATAACCAATAATTAGCACAAAATAAAAAAATTAATGTCATTTGTGACTCTCCCTCCTCAACGGGATATATATTTTTTTTAAATGTTTGGCTTCCTTAAATATAATTTATTCTACATATTTATAAAATAGTAAGTGTTCTATATTTATGACGAAACAGATGAGAGAAAGTCTTAAATGTAAATTTATTTTTGAATGTAAATTGATGAGTAGTAATTGAGTATTTTTTATATTTTTTTATATTATACAATAAATATATCGTACAAACGTCTTGGGCCAATCCATAATAGCTCAACAATTCCTGATAATTTAAGTATTTTTAAATCCACAATGATATTTACCCATTCCTCTACACGAATTTCATCACAGGGGACTTTTTTTGTTTCCAATCAAATGTAAATTTACCATTGATAGTAAAATATAATTGTGTAATTTGTTTAATTCATTAATAAATTCATTGAAGTGTAATTTTTCTATTAACTTAATTGTTCAGATTGGTTTCCTGACAACTTGTTCTATAAATTCTTCTGAATTTTTTCATATTTTTGTGCATTAGCACTCCACGTAATCTCCAATATCCCATCGATTGATAAAACTTCTCAGAACATGGTAAGACATTTTAGAGATATTAAAATGATAATTAAATATTAGCACATTTAATTTATTCTAAATATTATAGCGATAAATAAATATAATTCGACAAATAAGGCCGCAAAAATACGTAGGGATAACGGCCAATGGGCTTCTGGGGCTATAACTCTCCCTTGTAATGGGGAAAATAAAAAAATTCAAAAAGCCAAAAAACTAAAAAATAAACCTTGTATCTGTAGTAATAACCTCGCCATTCATTGTAGAATTCTCGCCGTCTTGAGATATTAAGAAAATTGAAGAAATTTAAAAATTTTTAAAAATTAAAAAATTCTAAATTTTCCATAAAAATTATCTTTTTTCGTTAATAATTGTTGATGGTTATTGCTAATTGTTGTGGTGGACCATCTAAAGAACAAAGAAAATGCTTAAAACAAAAAATAAATCAGTTCATTTCCAAAAGCATAACGGGAAAAAGAACAAAAGATTGATTATTAAGTTAGTGGGACGAATCCAAAGTTTTTGTCCAAGGGGACGAATCCAAAGGGGACGAATCCAGGGTTTTTGTACAGTGGGACGAATCCATAGTTTTTGTTCAGGGGGACGAATCCAAAGGAGACGAATCCAAGGGGGACAAATCCAATGTGGGACGAATCCAAGCGCAGCCCAATAAATATATCGTAGATTCCTCCTGGGCCAATCCACAATAGCTTAACAATTCCTGATAATTTAAGTATTTTTAAATCCACAATTGATATTTACCCATTCCTCTACACGAATTTCATCACAGGGGACATTGTTTTTGTTTCCAATCAAATGTAAATTTACCAATGACTTTGTAAATTTAAGATTTTGTTGTATTTAAATGCTGCATAATGCATATTTTAATGCATATTTTGAGGTTTTTTGGGAAAATGTCGCGAAAATTGCCAAAAATTCTGCCAAAAAATGTAATTCTAGTAAAAATTTAGGAAAAATAGTGTAAAAATTACAAATTTTGTAAAAAAATTTTTTAGCTGAAAAAAATTCCTAAAAATGACCCATACACATAATGCCTCAACCCAAAAATGTCCCACCCCAAAATGTCACACACCCAAAACGCCTCAACTCAAAATGTCCAACACCGTAAAAATACTCATTTTGTGAACTATACATTTAAAATGGGTGTATTCTTAATGAAAATAGGTCTATGAATGTTTTTGACTAAACTAATTTAAAATTTATAGGAAAAAAATGTCCAACACCGTAAAAATACTCATTTTGTCGAACTATAAATTTAAAATGGGTGTATTCTTAATGAAAATAGGTCTATGAATGTTTTTGACTAAACTAATTTAAAATTTATAGTTATAAATTGTATTTTTCTTGCATATTTTCGTGCATATTTTGGTGTTTTTTCATGCATATTTTAGTGCATATTTTGCATTTTTTAATGCATAAAAATCCGCCCTCTACTAATTATATAATTCTAGCAACTTCATTTTTGGATAAAATTAACATTTAGTCGTGAGCAATATACTCACGGAACATTCCTGATATTTATTCAATCTTTTCTTTTGATCAAGGACAAGTTCTAGTTAAATAATGCGTAACAAGGATTATAAAATAAATTAATGAAATGTTCTAATCATCACATATTTCTGACTAAAGGAATTTTTAATAGTTTTTATATTTTACATTTTTTGGGCTGTATTTTATTATTACCGCAATCAAAATCTAATTAATTTTTTAGAAATATAATTTTTTAAATAAATTCTTTGAAATAATTTTACTTTATCATATTTATTATTTAATTGTAATAAACATCCCGCAATTGCTACGATACTTGCGTGTTTCCACAGTAAATGGTTTCCATATCTTCGTCGGCGCTAACACCGGCGCTGAAGTTAGCATTTTTTCATCGCTTCATGTATTCTTCTTTTTTTTCTTTTTTAGTCTTTTTCTTTTTCCCCATTCTTTTTTTTCTTTTTAGTTAATTCTTAAATTATACCCATCGCTTTCTGAAATAGCTCAACATTCCAATTAAAGATCTGAGTTCTTACACAAACTTGGAGAACCAATATAGAATTGTTTTTATTTATTTCTTATATACATACACTTATATAACATTTTACATATTATTATAAAAATGAAAAGTGTATTCTTAATTATTCCGAAAGATATTTTAATTTATTTAATAATTTTAGATTAGTTTTTATTTTATTTGTAATTTTGCTAAACCAGTAATTATTTGTGTGAATAAAACTATTTATATATTATTAAATAGTTGTTATTATATTTTTCTTTAAAACAACTATTTTATTTTAGCGTTATTAAATAAACAATTTTTTATTAATTTAGAAATTAACTAATAAATTTTATTAGTTATATAATTACTCTTATAGCACTAAACTGTTTTGCGAAATTATTATAAAGGTAAAGAGCTCTACATAAACATTTTGATCAACCAAAAGTTACATATGCTACATTTGTATGATCTCGCACTGAAAATTTTTTTATAAGAATATCTATTTACATTCATATCCCTGACTCACATTTTGATTTGTACTTCATTTATTAATAAATGTTACTACTTATAATTATTCTGATTAATCGTCCAAAGTGTTTGGAAAGATCTATTAGTTATTGATTTTTTCTTACCTAATATTATATAATACTGTTTGTTTAATGCTGAATCAATTTATTTTATATTAATTAATCTCATTTAAAACAAGCATTATTTATATTCCATGATTTAAACTCACTCGGGGGTAATTTATATTTTAATTTAACAATATATTATTGTAATAATGACAAGTGTATTTTTAATTATTCTGAAAGCTATTTTAATTTTTTTATAATTTTAGAGTTTTCAGCTTATTTGTGATACTGCTAGAACCGGTAATTTTTGTATGAATAAGTTTTTAAAACTCAATTATTAATATTTTGTTGAGTCCGCAGTTCTTTTTTCCCGAAATAGTAAACGATCTTGGCGAAGTGGAGGCCACTGGAGGAGCAGTTTGCATCCTTCAAGCCTAACTTTTTTGTTTTTTTCTGTTAGGAGTTATGCTTTTTGGATTTTGTAGGGTATTAACGCAGGTTCATTTTTAGATATTCGTCTGACGGTTATCTCACTTATTCCGGTTTCACGGGCCAATTTTCTCATGGAGGGTCGAGAATTGCGATGCACCTAGTTTTTGATCATTTTAATATTCTTGGAAGTGCTGACGGTACTCGGTCTTCCACTTTTTTGTAAGTTCTTAGTTGTGCCATCATTACTAAATTAATTTCAAAAAAATTTTCTCCCAAAAAATTTTCACCAGAATTTTTTGAAAGTGTATTGCACAGTGCTCTTTGGGACATTCAAAAGAGGTGAAATTTTGCGGACTGAATTTTTTTCAAAAAAAGTGAAATTATAGAATCACGTTGATTAGCCATAATAGAGAATTGAATGAGCTAAAAAATAAGCATAAAATCGATTAAAAATATTGATAACAAAAAAAGTTATAAGGAATTTAAAAGTGTCCAATTACTTATGGTGCACCCTGTATAAAATTTGTTTAAAAGAATTTTTAATGAAGAAATTCAACATCATATGATTAAAATAAGTATGTATAAAAATCTTCAGAGTTGTTTTAGTATTAAAATATAAAAATATTATTTTTAATGCTTTTTTATAAAATAAATTATTTTTTAACATATTTAAATTTTTAATATAATCAAAATTTTTGATATATTCAAACATATATTTTTTTATATTTTTGTAGAAAGAGGATATACATACATATTTTTTAAAAAGATGAGCTGTTTAAAACATAGCTTGATAAATCATGAATTATAAAAAAATAAGTTGCAAGAGTGTCCTTTTTTCTTATTGTTTCCCTAAAGAACACATGACATAACCAATAATTAGCACAAAATAAAAAAATTAATGTCATTTGTGACTCTCCCTCCTCAACGGGATATATATTTTTTTTAAATGTTTGGCTTCCTTAAATATAATTTATTCTACATATTTATAAAATAGTAAGTGTTCTATATTTATGACGAAACAGATGAGAGAAAGTCTTAAATGTAAATTTATTTTTGAATGTAAATTGATGAGTAGTAATTGAGTATTTTTTATATTTTTTTATATTATACAATAAATATATCGTACAAACGTCTTGGGCCAATCCATAATAGCTCAACAATTCCTGATAATTTAAGTATTTTTAAATCCACAATGATATTTACCCATTCCTCTACACGAATTTCATCACAGGGGACTTTTTTTGTTTCCAATCAAATGTAAATTTACCATTGATAGTAAAATATAATTGTGTAATTTGTTTAATTCATTAATAAATTCATTGAAGTGTAATTTTTCTATTAACTTAATTGTTCAGATTGGTTTCCTGACAACTTGTTCTATAAATTCTTCTGAATTTTTTCATATTTTTGTGCATTAGCACTCCACGTAATCTCCAATATCCCATCGATTGATAAAACTTCTCAGAACATGGTAAGACATTTTAGAGATATTAAAATGATAATTAAATATTAGCACATTTAATTTATTCTAAATATTATAGCGATAAATAAATATAATTCGACAAATAAGGCCGCAAAAATACGTAGGGATAACGGCCAATGGGCTTCTGGGGCTATAACTCTCCCTTGTAATGGGGAAAATAAAAAAATTCAAAAAGCCAAAAAACTAAAAAATAAACCTTGTATCTGTAGTAATAACCTCGCCATTCATTGTAGAATTCTCGCCGTCTTGAGATATTAAGAAAATTGAAGAAATTTAAAAATTTTTAAAAATTAAAAAATTCTAAATTTTCCATAAAAATTATCTTTTTTCGTTAATAATTGTTGATGGTTATTGCTAATTGTTGTGGTGGACCATCTAAAGAACAAAGAAAATGCTTAAAACAAAAAATAAATCAGTTCATTTCCAAAAGCATAACGGGAAAAAGAACAAAAGATTGATTATTAAGTTAGTGGGACGAATCCAAAGTTTTTGTCCAAGGGGACGAATCCAAAGGGGACGAATCCAGGGTTTTTGTACAGTGGGACGAATCCATAGTTTTTGTTCAGGGGGACGAATCCAAAGGAGACGAATCCAAGGGGGACAAATCCAATGTGGGACGAATCCAAGCGCAGCCCAATAAATATATCGTAGATTCCTCCTGGGCCAATCCACAATAGCTTAACAATTCCTGATAATTTAAGTATTTTTAAATCCACAATTGATATTTACCCATTCCTCTACACGAATTTCATCACAGGGGACATTGTTTTTGTTTCCAATCAAATGTAAATTTACCAATGACTTTGTAAATTTAAGATTTTGTTGTATTTAAATGCTGCATAATGCATATTTTAATGCATATTTTGAGGTTTTTTGGGAAAATGTCGCGAAAATTGCCAAAAATTCTGCCAAAAAATGTAATTCTAGTAAAAATTTAGGAAAAATAGTGTAAAAATTACAAATTTTGTAAAAAAATTTTTTAGCTGAAAAAAATTCCTAAAAATGACCCATACACATAATGCCTCAACCCAAAAATGTCCCACCCCAAAATGTCACACACCCAAAACGCCTCAACTCAAAATGTCCAACACCGTAAAAATACTCATTTTGTGAACTATACATTTAAAATGGGTGTATTCTTAATGAAAATAGGTCTATGAATGTTTTTGACTAAACTAATTTAAAATTTATAGGAAAAAAATGTCCAACACCGTAAAAATACTCATTTTGTCGAACTATAAATTTAAAATGGGTGTATTCTTAATGAAAATAGGTCTATGAATGTTTTTGACTAAACTAATTTAAAATTTATAGTTATAAATTGTATTTTTCTTGCATATTTTCGTGCATATTTTGGTGTTTTTTCATGCATATTTTAGTGCATATTTTGCATTTTTTAATGCATAAAAATCCGCCCTCTACTAATTATATAATTCTAGCAACTTCATTTTTGGATAAAATTAACATTTAGTCGTGAGCAATATACTCACGGAACATTCCTGATATTTATTCAATCTTTTCTTTTGATCAAGGACAAGTTCTAGTTAAATAATGCGTAACAAGGATTATAAAATAAATTAATGAAATGTTCTAATCATCACATATTTCTGACTAAAGGAATTTTTAATAGTTTTTATATTTTACATTTTTTGGGCTGTATTTTATTATTACCGCAATCAAAATCTAATTAATTTTTTAGAAATATAATTTTTTAAATAAATTCTTTGAAATAATTTTACTTTATCATATTTATTATTTAATTGTAATAAACATCCCGCAATTGCTACGATACTTGCGTGTTTCCACAGTAAATGGTTTCCATATCTTCGTCGGCGCTAACACCGGCGCTGAAGTTAGCATTTTTTCATCGCTTCATGTATTCTTCTTTTTTTTCTTTTTTAGTCTTTTTCTTTTTCCCCATTCTTTTTTTTCTTTTTAGTTAATTCTTAAATTATACCCATCGCTTTCTGAAATAGCTCAACATTCCAATTAAAGATCTGAGTTCTTACACAAACTTGGAGAACCAATATAGAATTGTTTTTATTTATTTCTTATATACATACACTTATATAACATTTTACATATTATTATAAAAATGAAAAGTGTATTCTTAATTATTCCGAAAGATATTTTAATTTATTTAATAATTTTAGATTAGTTTTTATTTTATTTGTAATTTTGCTAAACCAGTAATTATTTGTGTGAATAAAAATATATTTTTTCAAAACTCAATTTTTTATATTTTGTTCGATACTCAGTTTTTCCCATTGTACTATTAGAATTCTTATAAAATTTAATACAAGATTGAGTGAATTATTAATTTGCTTTGTCCAAATGGGGTCACTTCTAACCAATTCTTCGAATGTCACATTATAAATAATAATAATTTTCATGTGCAAAGGAATTGCATATTGAAATTGCATATAGAATTTGTTTGCATATTGAATTTGTTTATCAATCATATTTTAATAAAAATTTTCAGATTAGCTAATTTAAAAATTCATAACAATATTTAGTGTCTTATTTATGCGGGGAGTAGAAGAATTTATTTGAATTAAAATTAAAGAATAAATACAAAATTAAGCCAAACCCAAAGCTTTTATTTTTATTTCCACAAAATTAAATAAATTACGAATGAAAGGCGAAAAGAACATTTTAGGGGAGGAGATAGGGGCTTTTATAGCACTGAGTCAAATTAAAAGGGAAACAAACGAAATGCATAAAACTGACAAAGATACAAATAAAAATGGTCATTTTCTTTAGGTCATTTCTTTGGAACGACATTTCATTGAATTTATTTCATCATAATTTGATCAATAAATTTTCATTTAAAAATATAATTTTATTCAATTCCTTATCCAAAATTTTTATAAAGTTCAAAAAATAATAATACTAAATCTTTAGATAAAATAACTAAGAAGGTAAATATACTTTTTAATTAAATAGATATACAATAAATATATCGCAGATTTCCTCCTGGGCCAATCCACAATAGCTTAACAATTCCTGATAATTTAAGTATTTTTTAAATCCACAATTAATATTTACCCATTCCTCTACGCGAATTTCATCACAGGGGACCTTGTTTTTGTTTCCAATCAAGTGTAAATTTACCATTGACATTGTAAATTTAAGATTTTGTTGTATTTAAATTAATATAATAAAATAAATATAATGTAAATTATTCCAAATAAATCTTAAAGATTATAAATTTGGCCAATATTTTTTATTTTCGTTATACAATAAAATTTCTGGAATTCTTTTTATGGTTAGTTAAAAAATTAATCAAACTCTAATTATATAACTTAGCATCTTGATTTTTGGATAAAATTACTATTTGTCTTGTGCAATATATCCCGGAACTTTCCTGATATTTATTCATTCTTTTCTTTTGATCAAGAATATTTTCTTTTTAAATGATTTGTTACAAGGATTATAGAATATATTAATGTCGTGTTCTAATTATGACATATTTCTGACTAAAGGAATTTTTATTAATACTTTTTATATTTTACATTTTTTGGGCTGTACTTTTTTATATCAATAATCAAAATTTAATTAATTTTTCTAAATATAATTTTTTAAAAATATCTTTAAAATAATTTTAATTTATCATCTTTATTATTTGATTGTAATAAACATACTGCAATTGCTACTATGCTTGCGTTTGTTTCCATAATAAAATGTTTACCCATCTTTGTCGGTGCTAATAGAGGCGCTGAAGTTAAAGAAGTCTTTCAATAAATAAATTTTATTAATATTAAATTATCTATCTGGATTTACATATTTTCGCAGATTTTTTAAATATTTTGACTTGTTAAGAAATAGTAATTTGATAATTTAAAAATATTTTCCGTTCACTTAACTTAATAAAATGTCTTAAGCGGTCCAGTTCTTCCTCCGAAAAAACAAGATCGAATATCGATCGGACCTCGATCCACATAGTTGTTGAAGCTACTTTTCATTTCTCTATTTTTGGACAACATATTCCAAATTATCATATTCCAAAAACATATTCCAAAAATATATTTCAAATTTTCAAAGGAGATTAAAATTTACTAAAAAATAATAAATTTTTTTATTGACAATTTTTTATAAGAATATTTATTTACATTACATATCCCTGGTTCAAGGCGTTCGATTACGATTGGATATATATATTGTGTTTAATTATGATTTAATTGTTTTATGATTATGATGCTTTTTTCACATTCTCTTTAAAACCAACTATTTTTACTTTTTACTATGGTTATATTAATAAAATATTTGGTTTATTTATATTAATTAATTTCAATTAAAAGAAGCATTATTTATATTTCATGATTTAATCTCACTTGGTGGTAATTTATATTTTAATTTAAAAATATATTATTATAGTAATGACAATTTTATTTTTTAATAATTCTGAAATTTCTATTTTCTCAAGTTTTTTAAATATTTTAAATTATACAAAGATTTTTATTATTAATATTTTGAATCAATCTCATTAATAAACATTACACTACATTTTGCATAATTTCCGAAAATGTTGTCCGATATCGCTTTATAAAATTTAATTTTTTTCTTTTTTTTAATATTAAAATAAATAATTTCATAATAAAAACATTTATGTTTCTATTATTTATTTATTATGTTTTTATTAACATTTAATTATTTATATCACAACAATGCCCAGCATAAAATAAGTAAGTGGGGGGGGGGGGGGGGCTAATCTCATAATACGGGCTAATCTCATAATAAAATATATTAATATTTAATTTTTAATATCTTTTAATTTATACTTTTTAATATTAAAAAAACTATAAAAATTTGTATTTATACTCACATCTATATAGTTTTTTAATTTTTTTTGTTTTTATTATTAATTTTTAAAGTATATTTTAATTAAATAAATATCGGTTTTACTTTGTTGAAATTGTATTTTTATTGTTATAAGTTTGCATATTTAAAATAATTTTTATCAATACTTTTTACAGAATCTAACTTTATTTTACTTATTACATGTTTACATTTTATTATAGTTAACCATATTTTTTAATAATAAATATAGCTCGCTGTTATTATTAGAAATGTAGTTTCGGATCTGTAGGAATATCTTTAATTAAAAATTTAGAGCAAATTTTGTTTATTTGTTTAGATTATTAATCTTATTTAATTTCAAGTTATTAAAATTTAAATTATTTAATCTTATTTAATTTATTTTTAATAATATTTATATGGCATCTTAACTTACATAGTCTCGATGTTAAATAAATATCCGTTTATGGTTATTAATTGTGCTTTTATGTGTGTTGAGGTGTGCCCAAATATAATTCTATGTGTAGCATACTGCATATAATTCTGCATATAATTCTTATTGTGGGAGGGAAGATGGGCTATAATGATGGCTAATCTTAAGGAAAAGGCTATAATGTGAGAGCGAAAATAAATCGGAAACGAAAAAAGATGAAAAGGATTTGTGTAATGGATGGGAATTAAAATAATAACTCGCTATTAAATTACCGTATTTACTCTATTAGAGCCCCATGGGGCTCTATTTTTCAACCTTCCTCCAAACGGGGGCTATATTAGGGAGGGGGGCTCTAATAGAGACGAGGGCTGTACTTTTCAACCTATTTTTAAAATAGGAACAGGTTTTTC